TGTAGTGAATTCACAGCTCCTTTCTGTGACAAGTGACAAAGGAGGATGCATTAGTGGGAGAAGAGCAGTAAACATATGCGCAGTGGGAGCTTATGGTGAGACTTTTCGCATCTGCGACGCAGCCTCTCCCAGGACCGATCGATGCTGCTTGCACCATCGGTTCTTATGAAGGATTGTACCTGGTGGGCATGATTGCACCATGGTACACCTCTAAAACACTGACGCGTTTGTGGCAACTGCGCAGATATGTGCAGCGCTTCAGCCAGTTTATGCAGCGCCTTCGCATTTCTAACGAATCCTGAGCTGAGTAAATTTGCAGAGGGAGCTTACTGCCGCTCGAAGCACACCCTTGGCTGCGCGTTCGTCCCGTGCCCTACCAAATCATCTACAAATGGCACATCAATGTGGGGCTCAGTGAGGAGGCTTCACCGGAGGTTGAAAAAGCAGCTTGTGCTCATGAGCCGCCTTTACTCTGACATCTCGCAGATCCAGGAACTGTTCCTGAAGCAATCTTCGAATGAAATCTGCTTGATGTACCACTGTTCATAACATCCTGTCAATCAGAGAACGGAATGACTAGTTGTCGGCCATCATACAGCTGTGTAGCCGAGCAGTTTGTTGTATGTATGTATGTATGTATGTATGTAGGTATGTATATATATATATCTTATCGATAGATGCATATGAAACGCTACTCTAATTTTGGGATCCCTCTTGCGAGGAGGAACCATATTTCGTAAAGTTACCTACTAGGGGTCTTTCGCGGGCACCCTCAACCTCCCATTCCCAAGAGAAACTGCTGTCATAGCATTGCGGCACACTTTGCGCTTGCGCAGGTTCACACCCAACGCACAACCCATGCTGCGCAAGTGCTTCGAGTTTAACCCCGCGCAGCGTATCCACGTCAACGAGGCCTCCAGGGTCGGAGCGTTGGGGCTTGCTGAGCTTGGTGTGCTGAATTTTGCTCGGTCCAGGTTTCAAAGAGTACGCATCGGACTAGCCACAGCGTTTTGGGAAGATGAGGATTACCTGCATGTTGAAATGTTGCAAACGTGCCTTGCTTTGACTTGAGCAAATGTCAGAGGCCCAGGTCCATCAAGGGTCATAAACACTCTGGAGCGTGATGATTGGGAGTAGGGTTTCTCGTTACGGGTTCGAGAGAGTATGGGGAGTTCAGGGTCTTGTGCAAAGCTGCAAAGCTTGAGTCACAGAGATTTAGGCTTCTGCCGACCTTCATGCACTCCAGCCCTTGTCATACACCGGATTTAAACCCTCAAGCCGTTAGAAACACGAAGCCGGAAAATGTCGACTGAGAAGCGCTCTCAAGCCCCAGAGTGATCCCCCTTGAGCACTGGATTTGTGAAGCCCAGAAAGTTGTTGGGTTTCTGCTGGAGTTTAGGGTGCCTTTGTAAGCCAAGCTGGACATAGCATGAAGCCGGCTGCAGATCCAGCTTGTGCTGAAGGGGCTGACGCCGCAGGACGCGACTTGTGTGGTAGGGGTTAACATTCTTTCAGGCTCGTGCCTGCACAGAACTCCCCCATTCCATTCCTTCCCATAATGAGATGAAAGACGACATCGGAGGTTTGGGCAAAGGGTGTCTGCACTGTCTGCGCGCTTCATGGGTTCTCGCGGGAATCGTGGGAACAGTCAGCGATGATGCCGAAACCGTCCACGGCCCGAACTCAAGGACCTGGAGCGTTATGGCATGGACAAGCGTGCTAATCTTAGCCTTTTTGTCGTGCATGTTTAATGGCTGGGCCCAAGCGGGCCTTTCTAGTTCTGCAGCTTTGGTACTGCTATGATGTACTGGTATGTGATGCCAGGGGCAAGGTTTAGCACAATTTAGATGTGAGGTCTTTAGGGACCAAGTGAGCCCAAAGATTGGGGTCACATACCCTATAGTACTAAAGTTACTACTATAACTCCTATGCAGGAACCCGAAACCCTGAACCCTAAACCCTAAACCCTCTTGGGCTCATGTGGTCCATGAAGGGGTGCAGGCTTTGAGGGCTCTGCCGCCTTGACCCACAGCCCAGGTCGGACGAGGTGAGCTGCAACCGCTGCAGCCAGGGTCGACACAATATAGGGGCTCAGGGTTTAGGGTTTAGGGTTTAGGGTCTTGAATAGGGTTTCGGGGGTTATTATAGTATAATTACAAAGGGACCACCTGGGAGCCGAGTCGTACAGTTCAGGGTTCAGGGTTCAGGGTTTAGGGTTTAGGGTTTAGGGTCCCAAGGTGTAGGGTCCCAGGGCTTAGGTTTAGGAATTCGGGTTTGGGGTTTAGGGTTTAGGGTTCAGCAAGCAGGTGCCTTAATCCCAAGCCCAACTCCGAAGGAGAGAGCTGTCATCGAAAGTTGCAGCAGATACCCATGAGTGAGCAGGCACCACTCCTCTATGACATTTAGGGTTTAGGGTTCAGGGTTTAGGGTTTAGGGTTTAGGGTTTAGGGTTGGCACCACTCCTCTATGACAGACCCGGAATCTTGCGACGCCTGCCAAGCCCTTCCGGTGGAAGCTTTATGAGGAGCCCCTTAAACGATTGCCCGAATATTTGGTAAACGACCTACCTTCTTCGAGACAAAAAAACTTGCTCGAGGGTGAGAGCTGCCCTTTGAGGAACAGAACTGAGTTTGAGTTGCAGCAAGCTGCTCTGGAGAACAACGACTTCCAGAAAACTGCGAAACACATTTGAAGGTTTGGCTGAAGGAGTTCTAAGGAGACTGTTCTGAGAATCTTCAAGGTGCTGAAATCCAAAACAACAGCACCCTGGTTCAAACACCAATCCCAAAAGCGACAATTCCAGGAAACATGTTCCGAGAACCTGGTTGTCAATCTTCAGTGTCTTTTTGTGTTATTCTAAAGTCAAGATTTTAATCTCTGAGAACCGAAGGTCCTGGGAACATGTTGCTGAGAACATTCCATGGTCCAGCTTCCGTGCTGGCTTCAAACCTTAGAACTCGAGACTTCAAACCTCTCAATGTTCGGTTCGTCTTCAATCTTATGTTTAAGACTAGGTTCTGCCACATACGGGCGCTTTGCTGCTTGAACCTCCATGGACCTGATTCTGTTGAGTTTGCGGCCCGGCGTTGGCCGCCTAGGGGTTCAAAGGTTGACTGAGCTTTGAGACGTTTTTGAGTGTATGAACTTGAGATGTTCCCATATACTAACAGTCCTAAAATAGGGATGATAATAGAGGTACTATAATCCCTATTAAGGACTGCTAGTATAAGGGAGAACATCCCAAGTATGAACTTATGCAACAAGCCTTTGGTTTTTTGTAAGATGTGTGTTGGTCATGGGTTTATGCAGCGTTGCCAACAGTTCTGGGATCACTTTTTTGGCTGGCTTGTCTTGTTCATGTTATAGCATAAAATAGATCATAGCATGTTTAATCGGCATGTTCTTGACCTCTCTGCGGCTGGGCTTTCGCGGGGTGGCATTTCCTCATGCGACCTTCGTGCCGCATGTCGCGTCTAGCAGGGACTTCGCACAAAGCATGCTGCTTCTACCTTTTGCCCTTATGTTGATGGAGACGTGGGGGTTTGAAGCCTCAGGCTAAACACTTTTCACGATAGTCACCCAAGAAAGACTCGTCTCAGCAAGCCCGGAGTTACAACAACTGCCCTTCGCAAATCTTCAAAATCGTGGTCAGACTCTGGTAGGCACGAAGCCATAGGTGTTAAGACGGGCATGCTTACATGGAAGAGACGGAGCCAGCACACCCATCCTTGCATATCCACGCAAGCCTTAAGGCACAAAACGCCGAAAAACCACAACCTAGCAGCACTGTCGGCTGAATCGCTTCAGCGACTCCTACAAACATGGGGCGCGGCCTAGCGGTCCCGATGCTTGCAGTTCCTCCGTTTAGCGGCTGCAAGTGCTGCTAGCCGAGTTCACCCTACACGGCGCTCCACCACTGTATTTTTAAGTACCTTTATAAATCCTAAACCCGACGATACCGGTCCCGAACTACAAGGGCTCGACAGTTTCCAGTGCTTGCAGTCGTCCCTGGCCTTTGCCAAATTCATTTGCAGGGCGCGTCTTTCCACTTAGTGCCGAGCAAGAAGCTCAGGGTTCCTGATTTCGTCCGGCCCCAAAGGGTTTAGGGTTTCGGTTTATGCATGGCCCAACGTTACAGACCTGTTGCTCGGCTTGGGCATGCACGTGTCCTTGCACCAATGCAAAGTGCATGAACCCAGCTTGGGTGGATCCTAGACAGACTACTGCAACGATATGAATACTGTATACTGAAGGTGTTTTGTGTTTTGACGTGGGCGCTGCATCCATGCAGTCATTATAGGGCTTTATATGTCTTCTTATTGGTACCTATTTCTTCTGTCGTCTTGGTTTTTCCCACCTCGGGGATTTAGTAGCTCATCTCTTCTTGCAAGAAGCGAACCACAACTGCAGCTTTCTCGCAACTCACCATACTGCTGCCAACCTTCTTTAGTGATAGCCAACGCTGCCAAAGACATTCCCATGACGCCGTGGAATCGCTGGGCATCTGGCAAGCTGGAGTCAGTTTGGGTTCCATATGCCAAGGCCCAAAACACAGGCAAATGCGTGCTGCGCTGCATTCCGCAACCTCTCTCCTCTTACCCCGTCCTTACCGGGCACGATGAGCGTCACCCAACCTAACGCACAAAGGCAGCTGAAGGTAAGCAACCTTTAGGGTTTAGGGTCACTTGGGATGGAACTGTGGGGGCTTTGGGGTCCACATGCCCTCTGACCGGCACCAGCAGTTGCAGAGCCTTCAAACCCTGCTGACTGCTCTTGTCCCATCGAGCCTGCGGCACAACATAGCTCATCATTTGGGGTCCATTTTGTGGATCCTTCTCATAAGGTGTTCTAGGCTAGAGGTTACTTGTAGGTAAATTAGCACAAATACATCTTGTCACAAGGGCTGTACTTGGACACGCAGCAACTTCAGTGGGGACTGCGAAAAATAAGATGGGTTGATTTGCGCCAAAAGCTTCCTTTACCTTCGTAGACGTACAGCCATGGAGAGCGCAAAGCGGCGGGCAGCACAGCTCTCGTCGCAGGTAGTGGCTGGCGAAGGCACTGCAGTTAGCGTTGATAGCTGTGCAGTGTGATACGAGTATGATGGTAGCGAAGTCAGGGGGCCTTTCGAAAGAAGCAACGGAATTTTCGGTGCGGTGCGGGCATATAACTTGACTGACAGCGCGTGTTTGCTGATGATAGGTTGGGCGTAGACACCCACGGTTACGCCAAACATGGCTGCGACAAGGGCAGAGGGCCTGCTCTCAACATTGTTCCTTCACCTGTTATACCCACTTCATGATCGACCCGAAAGCCTGAAACTCAGCGTCGCCCCGCCCCACTCTTCTTCTTTGCCGAAACCCCTACGCTCTTTGGCCTCTAAAGCCTAAACCCCCTACCCCTCTAGACGCCATGCCCTACACACTCAACCCGAAAGCCTCTGCGAGGTGGCGTGGAGGGCCCTTGGTCTGCTGCAGTGCCGAGCAACTTCGACGTGCTGCCAGGCGGCCGAGATGCCTTTTGGGAAGAACTGCTATATAATGGATTGTGGTTCGTTTATCAGGGTTTAGTTCTAGAGTATTCTAGAGTATTCTATAGCCTTCTATAGTTCTATAGAAACTGGGCTTGTGGTTTTTTTGGGGGGGTGTGGGTTTCGGGCTTGGGCTCCAAGAGTTTCAGTCCTCAAGGGAGTTTAGGCTTTAGTGCAATCGCAGGCAGCAACGATGCTGAGATCTCTGGCCACCTTCGGTGGATGTCGCAGAAGATGGTCCTGGGCTGCCGGCTCGCAAAAATGAGGGGGAGATGTGGGACCTTGTTGATTTCGGTTTTTTTGAAGGCTCGAACCAAAAGGGGAAGCAGCAACATCGAGAATGTCTCGCGATGCAGAGGCGTGCGAAAGTGATACCACAGCTCGCATTTGTGCACTGTTCAATCCACCGAACCAGTACCCAGCACCGACTCGGGTTGGAGTCTATAATGGATTGGGGTCCTTGGCTTGAGTTTGACCTCACTTTCGGGTGCACAGTATTTCCCGTTAAGAGTTCCGAGTGCAGGCTTTTGCACTCTTTGCCCTGAGGGACATCGGCGTCCTCGGGGTCTGTCAGTTCTGGGACTTGGATCTGGGGCCCAACGAACCAAGCCAGAGCCTCTCAACACACGAGCCTAGAGCGCAACACGAAATCTTTGGACCCGAGAGAACCCCGCGTCAGGCCTTGGTTCCTGAAGGTAGGAAGAAGGCTCTGCACTAGTCCACGATGCTCAGGAGGGATGTCTTCAACTCCCGCTTGACCTGTAGCTGCCGACCAGGGGATCCCAACAGCGGGAGCACGGCTTTGGTTTCGAACGTCTGAGCCTAGCCAGGGCACCTACATAAGCCCAGTAGCCCTTTGGTTAGCGGCCGCTGCAAAGCACCCATGCCTTGCCCTCAATTTTTTCACCCCCAAAGGCTCCTTAACCCTTAAACCTGAACCCCCGACACGACTCAGTCCCTCAGGGGCCCCCAAGCCCAAGTCTCCTTTGGACCAGGCCAGGACATGCTACTGCTGGGGCCTCCGGGCTCCCTGCGGCGTCAGCTCGCGCTGCGCTTCTGCGACTCGGGACGGTCACGGAAAAAAGAGCCCATGGGGGTGTGTTGAGGCTTTTCTGAGGCTTTAGAGGCTTGTGTTTAGGCTGTTTCGGGTCGAGGGTCTTTTCTTTTTCCTGGGTGCAGGGCTTGGTGGTTGCCGGCCGCTGGGTTTTGAACAGTACCCAGGACTTCTTCTCAATATTTCAGGCTCGCTCCCATTGCTGCTGTCGGCATAGGCTTCGGGAAGTTTAGGGTTGCTGAGATCTAAGGGAAGTTAAATGGGCCCTTAATAATGGGTTCTGACGTATGGGTATGGGCCCTTAATGTGTAGAGGGTATATAAGGGTATAGAAAGGGTCCCCTTTTAAGGGCCCACACTAAAGGACCATGTAACTACCATCAGATGAGAAGCCCTCAATCCTAAGAGGTAACTAGACTAGACCCATCCGCTCACATCTCTAAATTATGGCCCTTTTGGAGGGGGAACCCTGAACCCTAAACCCTCAACCCTCAACCCTAAACCCTAAACCGCATGGGTGGCAGGGTACGAACTGACCGCTTCAAACAAGGCTTGATCTCTGAATCCGAATCAGCAGCCCCCTGCACCGAGCCAAGCCCTCATAGGTAGGGTTCAGGTTTTAGGGTTTAGGGTCTAGGGTCTAGGGTTAAAGTGGATGGAGGGTCGGACCTAAGGTAAATGCCCTAACTCCTGATAAAGAAGCAGTAAGAAGAGGTGAGCTGGGTGGCCGCGAGGCAGAAGTCCTCACTGCATCCTGGCATGCAGGGCATGGTGCTTTTAGAGTTATCAAGGGGGGTTTAGGGTTTGGGGTTTGGGGTTTCGGGTTTCGGCTGAAGATGCAAACTGTTAAACTGCTACCGGCTAGGTATTCAGCGCGAAGCGCAGGATGCGAGACATACTTGGTAGCATGGTGTGTCGATTGTGGTCCCACTCGGCCTTCTGGGCTCCAGGTAACCCGGGACACGACGGAGGCTGACCTGAAACAACGGAGAGAGTTGACGAGGAGCTGGGCAAGCTCGGTGCGGAGATCGGTTGCCGGGTCTGAAGAGCAATGGAGAGTTCACTGACCTGGCAATCTCAAGAACCCACATGAGGGGGTTTTGGGGGCGGGAGAGCAGGTAGGCGCTTAAGGCCTCCAGGTTCTTGGCATTCCGGTGCGGGAAAGAATCGGCTTCGATTTTGGTCTGGGTTCTGGGCTCTTGGGGGTTCAGAAGGCTTGGGTACTTGATTGCTTTGAGGTTTGTGGGCCTGGTGTTGGACCTTAGGAGGCTTTAGGACTTCGGAAGTTTCGTTGAGCTTGCCCGAGAGGACTGGCGGCAGCAGCGAGACATTCTATGCCGACAGCGCTCCTGTTCGGGCCGCGCTGTGTGGGCGGATACTGGCACCTAGATCAGCAGTCCAGGCACAATTAGACCCTTGATCATTCAAATGGGCGAGCTGGAAGGGATCAGAGTTAATTAGTCGCCCTGGTTGCATATGGGGTCAAGCAGTCACTGGTTCTCACCCTAGAGCCGGTAAGTTAGGGTTGAGTGGGTCGAGCCGTGACTTCGGCTCTAGGGGTCTGATGGGCCGATCTCGTTTAAGGGGCAAGCGGGGGGGAAGAGGGGGGGGGAGGGGGGGGAAGGGGGGGGTCTTCAGTTGTTACAGGGTTTAAACTGACACCCTTCGTCTTCAGCAGTCTGGGTCTCCTCAGGTCCTCGACGGCCTCGAGAAGGCGCTATAAAGTGATGCGGCAGACACGGGTGTCTAAGAAGAGTGCACCGCCAATGTTGGAGCATCCGAATGCGCAATTGCCTGTGGGGTATCCTAACTTGACTATAGCGTGCCCTTTGTGAGAAGTCCGGTTCTTGGCATACGCTCCATGGCGGGATGCAAAGATCCATGCCTTTCTAGAGAGCTGTGTACGCTCGACCTACCAATACCGTCAAGGGCGTGTTGCGATGGAATGCCGCCCTTCAGTTGGGAAATCCAGCACAGAGAGACTTGAGGATTTAGGTTTGCTGTTGCCCTAGCCTGGTACTCGGCATAATGTTCCCAACATGTCCCTCCATATGTGCTTGAGAACCTTTGCGTCTGCACAAGAGGCCGAACGCAACGTACTGCCCACCTTGAACAACCTGCTGGAGAACCGCGAGATGGGTTTGGACGACGGCCGCCTGCTGCGAGTCGCACAGAGTTGAGTTTGCCAAGGCAGAGTCGAGGGGTTTGGGTGGGGCTCAGGGTTGCTGGTACTTGTTGGGAATGTTAGACTCAAGAGTTGCAAATTGTACTAGGTGCTGCCAGCTGGCACTTGGTCTGTGCCGTGCTAAGGCTGATTCCGGCGCGCAGATACGACACGCTCTCGCAGGAGGCATTGTCTGCCGGCATAGGCGCGGCCATGGTACCCCTGTTCCTGTATAACTAGTACGTGTAGTGCTGTGGCCTTTGCTTAGCTTGCTTCGTCTTCGGGGAGTAGCTCAAGCCGGCTTGGCTCTGTTATTGCGAAGACGGGGAACTTCTCAGACGGTTTTTCGAGCCCCTCCAACCTTTGGTCGTGCTTGTCGCTTGGCAATCTTCATACTTCTTAATGCCCATTCATGTCGAAGTTGATGACCTTGACAGTTGCAGCCCCTAGTCTTGGAGAGCTCACCGAGCCCGGATGCTCGTTTTCTACTTCGTCGCAGCCTGCAGCGAAGGCAAAGCCCGACTGGCCCGTGTCCACGAGGCCAAGCAACATCTTGACCTGATATGAATAATGATTGTTTAAGTTGAGAAATACTAGATTGGCAGCATGGCCCTATAGTTTACATAGTTGGCTTGCACTGAATAAGTACACATGTCTGGCAGGGTCAAATATATCAAGAACACTCACGAAACCATACTTAATCAGACGATGCCTCAAAGCTTAATTCAGCTTATCTACGTAGTTTAATTTCGAGGGGCTGCTGTATTCGTTGTATATCGGGAATGCGCCAAGCCCCTCGTACCCCTCTCAACCTCCACTGTTGCAGAGAAAGGCCGAGGCCAAACTCGCTAGTTGAAGTCCCCTGGGCAAATCAGCAATGGTCGATGATGCAATCGCTCAATGATGAGAACTTTGAGTTTTACAGGCAGCGTGGGACATCATTTTCTGCGCCACGCGCATGAATTCGCATTAATCCTGGTTTCTTTCACCTTCCCCTCACTGCTAGCCCGCGGGCCTGTAGCCCAAGCACATCCTGGTCCAACTGCCCCACATCCAGGTTTTTTTCTTCGTAGGCCAACTGTGCTTTGGACTGGTTCGAAACTCTCCAGGATTTCCGGGTCGTCGCACTGGCCGTGCCATGTCCGCCCTGGCCTGGGATGCCTGGCCTTGCTAAGAGGGCTTGATTGACAGTGCTCTTACCCCCTAAACCCGACCCTGCCGGCATTCGGAAAGCTGGGTGGGCATGCACTTACTTCACAGGAAATTTAGGCTAGGCTCAAGGTTTAGGGTGTTGGGCTGGGCTGGGGGTTTGGGCCTTGTAGGGCCGCCTTCTAAGGAATCCGCTGGATCCTCCGTTGAGGCTGCGCTCACAGCAACCACTTCGCTCTATGACCTCCGCACTCATACGCTCAGGGAGCTCGTTTGGGGGCTGGATGATTACACAACATGGGCAGAAACAACAACGGTCTTAGCTTCTTCAATCGTCGATCTTAGATCTAGAAATTCACACGAAAAGTACAGTTGCACATGCAAACCGGTGGTCTCACAGTGTCACGACATGGCAGTCACGCTCCTCGCACTAGATTTTTCAGGTGAACGAAATATTTGTCGAAAACACACACACACAGAGAGATATGTATGTGTGTATGAATGAATGAATGAATGATTGAATGAATGAATGAATGAATGAATGAATGAAATGAATGAAATGAATGAATGAATTTATATGTGTGTATATGTATATGTATACGTATACGTATCCGTATATGTATATGCATATTGTACTTTTATGCAAACATATCTGCCGTTGTTATTTTACTAGTGTATGTATGTATGTATGTTTGTTTGTAACCAGGTATGCATGTGTGCGCATGTCTGCATATGTGTGTTTCCATGCCATGCATGCATGTATGCATGCATGTATGCATGTATGTATGTATGTATGTATGTATGTAAATAGGTACGTATACGTGCAAACCCCATGAATGTGGCTGAAGCACAGCTTGCCGCTAGCCACAAGCACAAGGTGATTTGTAGATTTGCTGCTGCCGGGGAGAAAGCCGGGCATTTGCTTTCATGTGCTCGTCGACCATGGCAGGTCGAGATTTCAGGCGCGTATCGACTCTGGTCTGCAGTTAGCACGCCTGCGTCACTCCGAGAAACGTTTACTAGAGCCTTAACCACTCCCCGTAGCCGCGAAATCCTACCGCCTAGATTGGCCCATGATCGACAGCAGACAAACTTACAAGGAGCGGGAGCGGTGCTTAAAAAGAATGACTACTGGTTTGGCGGTTCAGCGGCAAAACTGTACTTGGCCACTGTTCTGCCCTGAGCTTCAACCATAGCTCCATCTAAACGCCAAGAATTTTCTCACCAGCGAAAGCTTTTCCCAAGGTTATGCCGCCCACCTTGGCCTCCGTGGCGCAGGTCTCTCCCTTTGTAGGCCAGGTCTATCCCTCTGTTAGCCCGGTCGGTGGTGGCCCTGAAAAGCATAAGCAGTGTACGTAAATTCTGGGGCTTCAGGTATAGTTGAAGTTGTGGAACCGACGTTGTGGCACAGAAGGCGAGGGGGTATGGTCGTCGTTTGGCATGGAGTCGGCATGGAGTTTGATGGGGCTGTTGGACTGGAACAGCTGCAGGGGCAGTCCGAATATCAACCCTCTGAGCCCTATCGGGCATAAGGCGCGGAACGCCCTAACCTTCAATACAGCCCTAAACCAACTAAATCCCTGAACTTCAGAGCCCACCCCAAACCCCCACCCCCACCTCCCCCCGCCCCCGAACGCCCTCCTGCTAGCGCATCCTGAACCTTGAGGCCTTCCGAGTTCCAGCAGCGACTTCGAGGCCCGACCCTCTGCAATTTGAGCGCGCGGTAGTGACGGAAGAGGGGTCTCGAAGCCGCGAAGTTCCAGCAAGCCCACGAACATTGTCAGACGATCCTTGATCATTCAAGTAGCCCCCCGTCAGGTCAAGACCCTCTTAAGCCCGGCAGCAGCACAGCTCCCATGTGCACAGCGAAGCAAAAAGCCCCAACCCCAGCAAGAGTAGGGTCCCAAATCCCCCCCCCCCCGGCCCAGTTCAGGGATCAGGGATCAGGGTTTAGGGTTTAGGGTTTAGGGAAAGCAGCCCTCACCCCCCCCCCCCCCCCCCCCCAAACTACCGAAAAGATCCCTCCAAGGCGCTTCTCAGGCGGCTCTCGGCTCTGCAGCGGGCCCTGGACGGCAGCACAGGCAAACTGCCAGGCGGACGCCACCCCGAGTAGGGTTTAGGGTTTAGGGTTTAGGGTTTAGGGTTTAGGGTTTAGGGTTTAGGGTTTAGGGTTTAGGGTTTAGGGTTTAGGGTTTAGGGTTTAGGGTTTAGGGTTTAGGGTTTAGGGTTTAGGGTTTAGGGTTTAGGGTTTACAGAATCCTAAAGCCCGAAATACCCGAAACCCTCAGGGTCCTTGGCCCATCTTGGGCTTGTAAGGAGGAGTTTCATTGGAGCGGCAGACGATAGGGCTTCAAGAAGTGCAGGATGCAGGCTCTTTTTCAGGGCTTTGCAGACATCATGCTGTGAGCCGGACCCCCGGGGAGGCCGGAAGAACGTTCCCAACTTCCCAACCATACCCAAGCTATTTGTGGGGAGCACGGTAGAATTGAATAGGTGAGGGGCGAGTTGCTTTCAGTCTTTTGTCAGAGCCAATACGCGGCCCCAATCTCCGACCATGACTCAGAAGCACTCAATGAAAACCTATAGACCTCCTGTACCTACCCC